TGCCGCCAGGCTCCCCTCCCCCACCTCAGCCCGAGCCAGTTTCAAACCTTTGCCAGTAACCTATAACATAACATCTTTTTCCTTTACAATTATCTATCATTTTAGGTATTAATCATGTTTCTGTATTTTGAGTAGTATTTTTCCCTTTATTATGTCTATTTACCTATTATATTTCAGAGATTCCTCATAGTTGCTGGCCCCAAAAGGCTTACCATGATCATATTTGAGTGTGATAATGGGTTCATTAAGTCTTGTGGATGAAAAGGAGCCACACAGTAAACCTGACAAGTTCAGGGAGGCCCGCCTGGTGGCCTCACAAACCCAGTGACCAGAGCAACCACACAGGATGGTCTGAAAGCAAAACTTCCTGATTATAAGGAAGTCGTGGAGGGCAGTCCTGTCCTAGGCCTGCATCTTCCATGACAAAGGTCAGTCTTCACCATAAGTGAGCCTGTCTATTGCCCTTGTGCAGCTAAGAGAACAGACCTTTGGAATGTCAGGGTGGTCTCTTTTCCCAGACCCCTCAGGGCATACTCTCCCACCAGAACCTCTTCTTCTCCCAGAACCATCTCTATGTACTTTAAAGGCAGGTTGTACACCCTCCCATGCCCACCAGTGTAAAAGAAGCTCGCATCTCTTCATTTTGCTTTGACCCTAATCCCCTCGATCTCAGAGATCCCCCTGCTTGGCTTTCTCCAGCCTCTCTAATCTACCATTAATGGAATTCATGGAACCTCCTTATATCTTCCTCTTTGATTCTGATGTATAAAAGAAATGGAAAAACTGTCACTTTTCCAGAGCATTTTCTCAATTTACTGAGGCTTTGTTTCCTGATAATTGTCTTCAGTTTGGCTAAAATAAACTCATAAATGAAAATTCTCTATATGTTTGGACATTTCTTATGTTGAGTGTCATTAGCCTTTTTTAAAAAATTGACTTTAGAGAGAGAGAGAGAGAAAGAAAAAACATTGATACGAAAGAGGAACTTTGATTGGTTGCAAACTCAGAACCCAGGCAAGTGCCCTGACCAGAAATCGAACATGCAGCTTTTGGTGCACGGAGAGGACGCTCAAACCAACTGAGCCACTTGGCCAGGGTGATAGTCATTAGTCTTTACCCCTTTCCCATAATTTCTAGGGATTGAAGGCATGTGCTTGGTCTGTCTTATTAAACCATAGCATGATCGTTATCTTTAATCTTTAATAATCTGCTCATTAAAATATCATTTAAAAAAATTTTAGAAGATTTTATTTATGGGAAAGGAAGAAGAAAGAGAGGGTGAAAAACATCAATGTGTGGTTGCCTCTTACACACCCCCTACTGGGGACCTGGCCTGCAACTCAGGCATGTACTCTGACTGGGAACTGAACTTGCAGCCCTTTGCTTCATGGGCCTGCACTCAATCCACTAAGCTATACCAGCCAGGGCAAAATATCCTTTTTCAAAATTAGAGTCTGTTTATTCACTTCTGTTATATGGATCTCCAAATTTAAACAACAGATTTTAAATATTTCATTAGCATTTTGGGAAAACAGATGTCCAGTGAGTTAAATTCTCCAAAGTAATCCCATTGGGATTTCCAGGGAAATGGCATTGCAGCTTTTTATTTCTTATTCTTGCTTGCTGAACTAACCAGTAAACTGTTCTTGAAATGCTGTTTGATGTTCAAGTTTTATTGACTGCTTTTCTGAACATTTAAAACAACTTCTGAAAGCCTGCTCACCTCCAAGTGAAAAGTAGTAGCTTTCTAAAAAGAAATATTGGTAGTCACAAGCAGAAGCAGCTTTTAAACTTGCAAGCCCTCCAGGTCCCAATTGTTTCCCAGGGCTTTTCAGACCTGGGAAACAATGCTTTGAGTTTAACGTTTAAATGTCATGGGGGGAGGGGAGGAGACAACGGGGAGAAGGAAAGACAGTGAGTGAAGGCCAAGGCTGCGAGGAAAACAAAAAGCAACTTGAAAGTACAGCCTAGCCTGGGACATTTAAAGAGAAGTGGGATAACTTAAATTTAGGATTTTCTGATTTTTTTTTTGAGGCTGAATTGCAACAATTCCATTATATAAAGGGTTGGGAATATAGATGAATCTTTCTTATTTTAAGAGGGGAATCTTAGCAGTGTACCACTGTAACAATTGTTAAAAACTCTTAACCAATGTCCACGTGCTTTTCGAAAGATTTGTAGGCTTAGAAAACTATGTATTTAGGATCAAATAAATGCACATGGGATTTTAAGTATTTATAAAAACATCTGGCTTCACCAAATATGTACAAATTGCTCTGAAGGTTAGACATATTTTTGTATATAATGTAAATGTGAAATTCTCTCTGACTTTGAGCAAAATTCCCATGAGGCTCATGTCAGTGGGAACACACACTATTGCTGCGTTTATATTAAAGTTGACCTTTGTGATGTTCCTTATGTATACTTTAATATTCTTGTTAATGCTTCTTTGTAAGGTTGACATTCTGGGTTTCAGTATATGAAGGCTTTATACAAAGACTGTGTGGCTTTATTAGCTTTTCTTCCCCTATCACAAGGCAGGAGCTGAAACATGCATTCTCCGTGTACAAGGAGGAAATGAAAGAGTGAAAGCTTGGATGATGCTGTTAGTGCTGAATCCAGTCTCTCACTGGGTAAGCGTGGCTCACGTGAGTATTGCTTCAAATTAGAAGGGCAGATTTTAGGTCACTATTTGTAACATCTGCAGTTAAGTTTTTCAAATTTTATTGAGATTTAATGAAAATACAATACAATGCACTTATTGTTATTATACATTTTGATAGCTGTGACTAACTTAACCACTCCATTCAATATATAAAATGTTTCCATCACCCCCTGCAATCCCCTCGTCCCCTTTGCAGTCCATGCTCCCAACACTCTTGCCCCAGGGAGCCACTGGCTTGATCGCAGTATCATGGACCAGTTTGTCTGTTCAAGGTTTTGTGTAAATGGACTCGTGCTGCATGTATTTGTGTGTGTGTCTCCCTTCTTTTACTCCACATAGTGCTTTTAAGATTTATCTTTTGTGTTGGTTTGTTTCTTTTAATTGCTGAGAAGTCAGCTGCAAGAATATATCAAAATTTATCTATTTACTTATTGATGCTTATTTCTAGTGCAAAGCTATTATAAATGAAGCCACTATAACCATTTGTGTACAATGCTCATTTGTTGACATTCGTTTTCAGTTATCTTTGCTAATTATCTGGAAGTGAAATGCCAGGTTACATGTTAAGTATATAACAAAGTGCCAGACTCTTTTTCCATAGGCCTTATGCTGTTTTACATTTTAGAGTTAACGTACGCGAGTTTCCATTGCTGCACATCCTCACCAACAGTCAATATTGCTGTGTTTTTTTAGCTTTTGTCATTCTAATAGTTGTATAGAGATATCTCTTCAACTGTTTGATTTTCAGTTGTATGATAAACATGTTCAGCATATTTTCATGTGCTTATTTTTCATTCATACATCACCTTTTGTGAATTGTCTGTTCAAATATTTTGTTCGGTGCGTTGTTACAATTATGCTGTAAGAATTTTTTATGTTGCCTAGATATAAATTCTTTGTTGTGTATAAGTACGGCAAATGTTTTCTCCCAGTCTGTGGTTTGTCTCTTCATTTATTTTTAATAGTGATTTTAATTTTGAGCAAGACTATTATAAGTTGTATTGCATCCCCTTTGAAAAGATATGTTAAAGTCTTAATTTCCTGTGTCTTAGAATGTGGCATTATTTGTAGATAGAATCTTCATAGAGGTAATCAAGTCAAGATGAGGTCTTTAGGGTGGGCCCTAATCCATTACGTTTGGTGTCTCTATGGAATGAAAAGAATTGACAGAGAGATGTCCACAGGGAGAAGGCCTTGATGAGATGGGACTGAGATCAGGCTGATGCAGCTGCACAGCCAGAAACCCCAGAGTTTGCCAACAAACCCCCAGAAGCCAGGGGAGGGGCCCGGGAAAGGTTCTCCCTCACGGCTCTCAGAAAGAACCAATCCCAACTCCCCCTTCACCATGGGCATCTAGGCTCCAGAATTCAGAGAAAATGCATTTCTGTTGTTTAAGCCATGCAGTTGGTGGTATTTTGTTATGACAGCTGTAGAAAAAGAATGCCAAGCCAAACTTATCAAATTTTTAGTACAAGGTCACTAAGGTTCATTTCTATGTTTTCTTTAGAGCTACATTATTTTGAAATCACACATAAGCATACTCAACACATTTTCTTCCTCACTGGGTTTCATGTTTAGATTTTCTAATGCCTGGAAGGAACATTTGTTTCTTGTATAATTTCTAGAATTAACCATAGTTTCTATTAGCAGTAGTGTAAATATATCAAGTGGCTTGGTGTCCATCTCTTCAAATTCAACATGGAGTAAGTTCTAGTTCCAAGGGGATAAGGTAACTTGTCCTTTTGGTTCTCTTCCTATTACGTTGAAGGTGATCATAGCTCACATTTTAATACCAGTCATTTAGGACCAAGCAGAGGCAGACCCAGGTGCACTTCACCCTTCCTTTCATCCTTCTACTCAGGAGGACTATTGATGTACAGGCCAAACACATGTGGCTCTAGGTAAACACCCTGAAAATATTGAACAGGGAGGCTCTTTTCCTCCTGAACACATGACAGCATCAGAGTTTTCAGTGGACACCATTGTTCTAGCACTCTACTGCAAGAAAGGACAAACTACCGACTAACCCACACAATCTTGACCTTGAGAAATTGGTTTATTTGTTGGAAGTTATTGCCATGGTACCTTTGTTCTTCATAGTTGAGGAATCATGAGTCCACTAGGTCATAAAAAGGACTAAAATACTAACTCAGTAAAATTTTCTGTAAGTCTTCCTTTGGAATGGAAGACTCAGCACCTGACACATGCTGGAGCCTCTGCTTTTACATTACTCTGTCACAATGCAGCATTGTTTTCTAATTCCTGAAATTCTGTTGTACAGCAGAACCAAGGCTGCAATATACTTCTAGGAAATTTCTACAGGTAAATGCCTTACCCTTGACAGACAGGTGTCTCCAGGTCACAGTTGGCTCTGGTCTGCCAATAGCAAGACACAGCAGGGTCACACTGCTCCCCTCATTCACAGTGATATCTGAGGAAATATTCATGATTTGTGGAGGAACTGTAAGGAAACAGAGAATAAATACATGAGAATGATTCTTTACACTCAAAACAAGGTGTTAGCCTATAAATATTCATACAGCATGTTTTTTATAATGAGTATTTTCTCAATAATAATGTTCAGATTTCTCAACTTTCCAAGGATGTGGCCACCAACACAACATTTACAGTGTTCTTGTGCATTGTAGCAGGAGGCAGGTGTATGTGTGTGGGTGGGGGAAGAAGCACAGGAACTGAAGAGGACATGAATGCTTCTTGACTGAAAGGCAAAACCAAAAGGAAATCACTTACAACACTTTCTAAGAGTTCCTGTCTACCCACATGCTCATTTATTTTGGTGGAATTGCTGACTTAAGCAAATAGTCATGTGTTGCCCCCAGTTAAGTCTTTTTTCCAATAAAGCCAACCACACTGTTAGTTATCATTTCCTGAGCATCCTGATGCTTTCATATTCTTTGATCTTGAACAGATTACTTCATTCTGCAAGTCTTTCCTTTCACATTACCCGAAAATTCCTTCTCATTCCCTAAAACATCTTTAAAATACAGAAAATTTGTGTCTGACTTATACAGTCATAGTTAGTTGCTTTTTCCCCTGGTCCACTCGCAATCCATTGCCCCTGCTGATATTGCTATCATAAGATTTATTATAACATCCAGTGTTGATGGCACCATATCCCAGTGGTTAGGAGCAGGGCTCCAGGGCTCAACTGAAAAATCTGCTGAAGAATCTGGGGCAAGATAAACTGCCTTCTTCTCTCGAAGATTTGTTACCCTCACCTATAAAATATAGGTGGTGGTAGTAGCTAAATTAATTGTGTTGTGAGGTTTAGATAAAACAATGGCTTAGCAGAGTGCCTGATAGGAAAGAAGCACACAATAATTACGTCTTTCTCAACAAACTGTCAATCTCTCATGGGCCAGGCCCATGTCCATTTACCTTTTGCATTGTAAAGGCTGACAGGATCCCCAGTTTTGCTGTCTACCTTGTCCTACCTCCAGCTCTGGTTCTCAATTTGATTCAAAACTCAGCATTGGAAAACACCCTGATTCCCCTTAACTTGTATTTCTCATTGTCCTGGTTGAATACTCACCAAATTTCATAGCAACAATGGTAGTTGCCTCCCACCTGTTCTCTTTAGAACTTTGGATCCCTCTAACCTATCCTCTCCATGTGGCCAGAGGGGTCTTTTCAGGAAATGATCTAAATCTAATGGCTCCTGGAAGAGAGTCCTTTAGCCCCCCATTGCCCACCAGGCTTAACACACACCCTGTTTTGCATAACTCGCCTAAACCCCCTACAGTCTAAGCCCCAGACCACTGACAGACCTCGTCTCCAGGTACAGTCCCCACTAAGACCACAGTGCAGACACCAGACCTGGCTTTCCACTTTCCTGGGAACAGAGCAAAGCACAAAACCTGCCATAGTTTTGCTTTTCCTTGTCTTCTCTTTATTTTCTACCTGAGAAGGTATGACTCAACTATCAAGAAACCTCAAAGGTCATCTCCCATCAAATCCTGAAAAGAGACTCACCCATCTCTCCCATTGGGTTTTCTCCAAACCTCCCCAAAGGAGGGGACCATGCAGGTTGCGTTACAGTTGATTGTTTAATGCCTGTCTCTCTACCTGGACAGTGAAGTGCTTCAGGGAAAGGATGGGATTTCATAACCCCTATTTCCTCAGTCTCTGACACCAGGCTGACAAAGGTACATGTTTGATTCTTCTTTGAAAGAAGGATCTGAAGAACAGATTGAACACATCCAAAAACTAAGGAGGGTAAAGCTTTTAATGGAGAGTTTCGGAAACTAAAATCTTTCTTCTCAACTTTCTTTTAGATTCTTAAAATAATAGGCAAGAAAACAGAGGAGGCTCCAAGCTTATAGTTTTTTTTTGATTTATTTAAATTGCCAGGTTAATTGTGAATTGTTCATTACTATCCAGATAGAGTGCTAGTGAATTCCAAACTACCCTGAATCAGTGGCAAAGGACAATGACGGCTGATGCTTGATTCAGATGACTGTGCAGCTTCAGGTTTTATGCTGCTGAGACCTTAGAGGTAAGTCTTTGCAAGGAGAAGCCATAACTAACATGTAGGACATTCAAGTTCTTAAGAGAATCCACATTAGAAAATAAATAAAAATCATCTAGTTTATAAATCTGCCACACTTTATATTATTTCTGCATTGGAACTTGCCCTGAACTTTCACTGCACATATTTTATCCAGATACACACTGGGAAAAATTGGTGTACATTCTAACTATGCTGCATCCTCTTGAGAAAATGGTATTACCTATTTTTCAGTATTTTCTAGCTTGTTAAAATAAAATAGTTCTGAGCTTAGAAATGTCAATACTTTTTTTCACCTTTAAAAAGCAACAACTTTGGTGCACCTTCCAAAATATCCTCAGAATAATGTCTGCTTTAGTTGGATGTGTCAGGCCCTCTGAAATTCTCTCTCTCTCTAGACCGGAGAGTCTCCCTCATAATGAAGACATGGCCCAGGGTGGGGGTTGGTAATGGGTGACATCGCTGGGTTAGTGGAGGCTGATTGGTACATTCCAGCTAAGATGCTCAGGGGCAGAATTCTCCTCACTGCCCCCAATTAAGAGACTATCCAGTTATGTTTTATCTGATAGTTTGAGGGGTTCTGGATTAAAGGAAATTTGTAAAATTCCATGGATATTTAGAATGACCCCCCCTTCCCATTCTCAATCTAATGTCACCCACTGGGAGGGAATGAATTTGGCAAGGTTACTCCCACACCGCCACCAAACCCCAGGCAGTGCTTTCTGTCATTCTCTGCATGTCTACAGTGTTCCCTGTCATTTTCTCAATGGAGAATAAACAAAGGGTGTGGGTAGCCAGTACCACACACACACACACACACACACACAAGGAATTGAAAGTTCTTCTGTTCTCAATTATTTTATTATTAATATGTAATATGTAATAATATTTTACTTATAAACATATAATTTGATTCTTTTCAAATTGCTTGCACAAGGCTTATCTTGTGGATTTCTTAAGAATTATAAGATAATGAGATAAATAGAACAAATATTCTCACTATTAAGTACATGATTTTCTAACCACTTTGATGTACATCTCAAACTAATACAAAGTAATATTGAATGTAACCTGTAATTTTTTTAAAAAAATTAAGAAGCTGGGACACAGGGAGCATTAAGTAATTTGCCCCAAATTATGTGGTTAGCCAATGGAACAATTCTTTTCATTGTACCATGCTTCCTCTTTGTTTAACCTCTATCATTGCCCCCAAACACAGTGTTTATATCTGTGTATCTGTTTCCTAGGCTTGGAACATCCTCCCTGTGCATCTTCCCTCACAGCACTTACCGAAATGAACAGAACCATCTCGTTCCAGTCCACTTCCCAGAACCCTGCACATCACTGCGGACACCATCTGCTTTGTCATCCTGGTATCTCTTGGACCATTCTTTTGGCCAACATTGATTGCCAAAGGAAGTTCTCAGCACTTTTCATTTGATTTGAAATATCAAATGACTTTGGCAATACTATTATGATCTTTCCCATGTTTCATAATAACTTTTTGAAAAAAAGGAGTATGTAGAAATGACTGTTTATTTCCTTTTTAACTTTGTTAAATTTATGGAGGGGTGACTTTGATTAATAAAATTATACAGGTTTCAAGTATATAATTCTTTGGTACATCAACTGTATATTGCAGTGTGTGTTTACCACCCAAAGTCAAATCTTCTTCCATCATCATACGTTGACTCCTATACCCTTTACTAACCCTCCCTCTGTAACTGTAAGACAGTTTTTGTTTGTTTGTTTATCGTGTTTGCTCATTTGTTGCTTTCAGTTTTATATCCCACATATGATTGAAAGCATATGCTTCTTAACCCAGTGAAAATATTCTTCAAACATAAAATAGAAATAAAAACTTTAAGACAAACAAAACTGAGGCAATTTAGTGCCAGCAGACCTACTATGCAATAAAAGGTTGAAGACGCTTTTCAGGTCCAAGGAACACAATGTAAAAGTCAGAATTTAGAGGGGCACACACACACAGTGTTGGTAATGGAATAATAAAGACAGAATGTAATCTATCACAGTCTTTTTTAAATTTCTGTAAAATATAACTGTATAAATCAATACAGTTGTCTGTATATAAGTTTCTGTTTATTTGTCTTGTTTGTTCATTTGTTGCTTTCCATTTTATATCCCACATATGACTGAAATTGTATGGTTGTTGACTTTTTATGTCTAAGTTATTTTACTTAGCATGATATTGTCAAGATGCATTGTGTTGTTGCAAATGGCAATGTTTCACCTTTTTTATGGTTAAATAGTATTCCACGGTATATGTACATGCTCTTTATCCAATCACTCATCAAAGAACGGTTCAGTGGTTCCCATGTCTTGGGAAATACAAATCAATACTACAGTGAGAAAGCACCTCACACCTGTTAGAAAGGCTATTATCAACAAGACATTAATAGTCAATGTTGAAGAGGCTGTAGAGGAAAAGGAATCCTCATTCACTGCTGGTGAGAATGTAAGCTGGTACAGCCACTATGGAAAATTGTATGGAGGCTCCTCAAAAAATTAAGCAGAGTTACCATATGAATCAGCAACCCCTCTTCTGGGTACCCACCCCCAAATTTGAAAACATCTACTCACAAAGATACATGCACCACTAAGTTCATTGCAGCATTATTCATGCAAGTAACTTTAAATGCCTCTACATATTTTGAAAGGAGAACTTTGTTTAAGTTGTAGGCATTTACCTGTGCCAAACAAATAAATAAATATATTCATATACAATATGTAGCTAGTATTTATGAATATACAGATAAAAATGCATACCAATCCTACCTGAAGTTCGAAAACTACTCCAAGAGAATGATAAGATGCATGAGAATCTCATGAAAGGATTACAAATAGCACAGTGTGTTTCCCATGGCATCTGCAGACACTAGGGATGCTGCGCCCCCTGGTAGGGCGTGCACGTG